CATGAACGAGTTCTCAAAGTTAATCCTCTCAATTATGTCAGAAAACAATCTGCCCTGTACTTACTTTCTGATAGAAGAAAGGCTGGGATTCTGCCCTTCCTGAGATGGCCACGCCACTGGGGTGGCGGGGACATTGTTGGCATTGAGCCAGTCTGATGTGGCTTCTGTGGCAAAGAGCTGTATTGAAGATAGAAAAGTCGGCGACCATATCACAATGATGCCTTGTTTTCTTGGAACCTACTGTAACACTCATGTCATTCGAAACATAAAGAAGACAGTGGGGAACGTGAGAAGGAGCGCCGTGTCATGGATAAAGACTGGGACTCAGAATCCAGAAGCGTGGCACTTTAAATTTGTTTTTAAATATTTGCAGTGAGGAAAAATTAAGGAATCTTAATTTTAGTTACTTTTGTATTTGACTAATTACATATTGAATAATAATTTAATAGCAATAATGTTTAATTTAATAACTTCTCCAAAATTTAATAATACTTTCTCAGAATAATTTATGACTAATAGTTCATTGTTATCGTGTCAAAAAAGCCCAATGGCCCCAGGCCCACCCTGAGTCTTGGAAATAATTTTGTTACACTGAACCAAGCGTGGTGTGGACGGATTCACAGCAAAGAGTTTGCCTCTAAGTGTAACAACTGGAAACTATGAACTTACATGGAAATGGAATAAGAGAAAAGGAAAAACATATGGAAATGCATTGGCACTTTTCCCCAATTATGCTTAAGCCAAAAATTGTCTAAGTTTTTAGTCGGTAAGTTCTATTGAGTTTGTGGAAATTGTGTTACAACTTAAATCTAGTCCTTCTAATTAATGTACTGTATTTAAGTTTGAAACTACCAAGTTAGTTAAACCCTTCAGGTTGAAAGAACATATTTGGGGTTACTGCTTTTCCAAGTTTGTGTAATGCAGTAAATCGTCCACAGGTAACCACTTCCCTACATCCATCACATCCTTTAGTTGACCTAATTGTCATAGATGGGACATGTACCCAACTTCCACATGGAAGTTCCTTATGTTGATCACACCTCTGAATGTTGACCAGTTTGTTAAGAGTCCCTTGGGCAGTCAATTTATAGAGGTTCTACTGTATTTTGTTTTGTGGAAAGATTGCAATGCTGACAGAAAACAACTTCAAAAAATTAATATAACATACCTTGAAACCTTCATTGTGTAATTGTTCAGCCACACCAAGGAATCTGGGACGGAATGATTGCTGAAAACAAATTTAACAAAATTCACTTTCCAGACATCTATGCTCTTTACTGAGTCATAAGCTATATGGTATTCTCTTGTTTCATCATAAAACACAATGTCGTATGTTGCCAGGTACTTTATATTCAAAGATGACAAGTTTTATCCTTTTATCCTTCTATAGTGAGTATGAGTTCTTAAAGTCCAACAGAGATGAAATTTCATACCCATCACCTCTCCTCTTTGCTTTTCACTTTGCCCCCAAATCTTTTTATTTCCTATTTAATCCACTGAGTCTCTGTCAGTTCAGATCCACTCTAGTTCTGCGTGGACCCTTTTCCTGGGGAGGAAGACTATCAAAGACACCTAGGTTACAAGCTCAACACCAAGTTAGGCCTGCTGGTCATTCTGCCAGTTCTACCTGCTCTGATGGCTGAGCTCTAACTTTTATTGCCTTTCAATAACTGAAGGCCACTGTCCTAACAGCTCATACACAGGTCCTCACAAAAACTCAATCTTCTCTGAGTCAGTTAAAGGTATGGTTAATGAATTCGTTCTGGGGTCACTGCACAGCATTTCAAATCCTGGCTTTACCATTCAATTGTAGTGTGTGCAAAGAAAAGTTAAGGTCATGGAGCCTTTGCTCCTTCACCTCAAAAATAATGATAACAGTGTTTCCACTTCCCGAGGTCCCACACTTATTTACCTGTCTGACCTTGAACATGTTAACCTCTCTATGATGCGTTCCTCGTCTGTTAAATGGGAATGGTAATAGTACTTACTTTCTTATTTATGAGTCTTCAATCAGCTAATTTAGAAGTAAGCACTACTTAAGTGTTAGCATTGTAATTTAGGCCAGTTATTGGTCCATTAAAAGTTATCGATAAGTATTAATTATTATTATTAAAATAATTATTTTTTCCAGCCTCCCAGAGACTAGATGTTTGTTCCTGCATTCTAATTTCCACACCCGGATTCCTCTTCCAACTATTACACTTCACAACCCAAACAACTACCTCTTCATCTACACGCATTTCACCTCCACAAAGGCTTCTCTAAAGTTTCACCATCTCACTTTTCAGATATTTTCTCATATCTGCTGCTGTGTCCTTCCCAGGACCCTAGCCAGACCTGTTCAGTTTCCAAGCCCTGCGTTCCCTGGACTCCTCCCCGTTGCTGTCAGGGTTCTCTAGTTCTGAGCATACATCCTGTGACCAAGAGCTAGGATCTACAAGACGTTGGTTTAAATAAAGGAAAATAAAGCTAAGTGACCTACACAAAGCTCAAACTACGACCTCGATTTCATGAGTGTCTGAGTAACTGAGCTAAAGGGAATATTTAAAATGATATACAGTTAAAAGCATATCCATTCTCCTTTAAATGGAAACATTTTTGTTGGTTTCCCTTGTAGAAAAATTTTAAACAGAGAGTGCAAGTTGGTTACTTCAGTAAATACCTTATGATCTCCTTAGAAACCATATTAGTGGTGGTTCAAACATCATAAATATGATTCTAGTTCAGAGTCAGAAACTCTAAGAACTGTGATAACAAAACGTACGAGATCTTTCACAATTTCGATAATGTTCAGCCCATAACACCTCCTAATATTTACTTGCAGAGGCTTTCTGAGAACGGACCTAAATCCTCAGAAAAGACCCCGAAGACTATGTTCAAATATAAAATTCTGTTAGACTCTGGCCCTCTCAATCCCAGAACTGCAGTTTTATGAGAGGAAGCTATTGGCAAATAGAAAAGATAAATGCAACTGGATGAATCTCAGCTAGGGCAGGCACAGAGGTTATTCACGACAGTCGTCTAAAACGTGAGTTGTGACCAGGCCCAGGATAGCAGCTTTCCATTTCCACTTAGGAAAAAAAGAACTTGGATATAAGAAGCTCATGGCTAGACATAAAAAATAAAATAAACAAATAAAAAATCAGAGAATCAGTGACATTAAAACAACTTAATGAGGTATGTGGCAGTCTCCTTAAGAATAATTTAAGCAGACTCTGCGCCCGTAGCACAGTGGTTACAGCACCAGCCACATGCACTGAGGGTGGCGGGTTCAAACCCGGCCAGAGCCTGCTAAACAACAATGACAACTGCAACAACAGCAAAAATAGCCAGGCATTGTGGCAGGTGCCTGTAGCCCCAACTACTTGGGAGGCTGAGGTAAGAGAATCACTTAAGCCCAAGAGTTTGAGGTAGCTGTGAGCTGTGATGCCACAGCACTCTACCGAGGGTGACATAGTAAGACTCTGTCTTGAAAAAAAAAAAAAAAAGAATACATTAAGCAGAAGAATAACACAATTATTTATGTTGGATTCTGCTTGGAAAACAAAAGGGCTAAAGTAAATGGCAGATTTTCTTCATGCTTTAGGGTTCCTTTTTATATAACAAATACATATGAAATGTGCAGAACAAACCTCTCTAATTTCATGTCTACTAAACACGGCATAAACTTAAGTCTTCTAACATGAAGGCTCAACATAAAGGTGTCCACCTAATCGATTCATTCATCAAGCTCTTAACTAACCATCCTCAATCTCAAACTCTTCCCCAGCAAAGAGTTACTTGTGGCATATGGAATTACAACAATAAGCAATAACATGACTTTCGACCAGGTTTCTAAAATACCATTTTCTCAAGTATAATGGTTCTCAAATTGTAGTTTCTGGATAAGCAGCACTGGTGTCACCTGGGAATTTGTTAAACTAGGAACATTTGGGCCTCACTTCAGATCTATGAAATCAGAAGCTCTGAGAGTAGATCCCAGCAATTTGTCACTTCATAAACCCTCCAGGAGAGTCTGGTGCTCACCTGAGGTTAGGAACAGGAGGGAATAGCGGATAGGAGGACTAGCCTCTCATCTTGTAATTTGAGGTCAAGACGTAATAACCTTGGCCAAAGTCACAGTGAAAAATCTCTAGGGAAGAGGACTAGAAGGTAATTTTTTTCTTTGCCATTTTAAAGTAAAATAAGCCAGCGAGTCCTCTGAGAGCTGCAGACACCAGGCAGAACCTCATTATGGAGCTGTTTCAGTGTTGTCCCCCAAGTGGAAAAAATGAGTATCCAACAGGACAGTATTGGCAGTTCCCGGCCAGGGAACCGCTCTGCCTTGGGGCTGGGTGTTGGCTACCATAGGCACATTATAAACTTCTATCAAACATGTATTGAACACTTGTGACACATAAAACAGCCTCTCCACAAAAAGAAATTACAGCTGTCAGCTTGCATCTGAGTAGCCTCAGATTTAAAAGCTGATTGAAAATACCTGTGTAAGAAACCATTTGTTACTAAAGGTGAAAAGTGCAAGCTGATTTATTGCCTTGGGAATGTTGATAGGAAAGAAAGTCCTCTAAAAGTGGAATGCGCTTCTATATAAACATATCCTCCAACCATCATTTTCCCATTATTTCAACTTCTGGCTGCAGAAAAGAAAACCAAACTAACACTACGTGATGCCTGTGGATGCTATAGGGACGTCTGGATTGACACCTCTTTGGTTGTTCCTAATGATTCCGTACCGAAGATAAAAGGTTATTCATGTCACTTGGAGTTGTCTTTTCGAATAAAATGCTTGCTTTGTGTTTCTGAGCAATGCTGAAGCGCAGATGTCAGGTTGGTCCCTGCCACTCCACAAGCATCACTAAATAGCCCAATCAGAGGGGAAGGAACAGTGAGAGCTCTTGATCGGCTCTAGAGTAAATCATTTATTGTTAAAGGGCGTTCAAGAAAACTTCAAAACAAGGCAGATTGCCTGCTCACAGCAACCAAAAATAAATCCTAATATGATGAACAGTGGCTGGAAATATTACAGGAAAATCAAAGAGGATTCTGTTGCCACATAAACCCACATTATGCCTCTCCTGTGTGACAAATGCCTTGGTATGTGGAAAGCCTCTTGGTGGAGATGCAGCATGTGTAATAGTTACATTGCCAAGGATTCTTCGACAAAATCTAAATCTTGATTCTTTTTTTTCTCCTAAGTCCTAGTTACACAAGATTGATGTTATGAATATTTCAAACATCCCCGGTTCCTTGACTCATGGGATTTAACTTTGAAAGGGCAGAAACATAGAGTCTGTACATGTGAAGGAGGAAGGCGGGACCGAGAAGAGAAATAAACAGTTATGAAGAGTATACTACACTACTGTGCTGAAACAAGTATGCGCACTCACGCTCACACACACAGGCAAGCACACACCATCCACTTGTTAAATACTGAGAAGCGGCTGACACCGTCTAATAATAAATACCTATTTAAAAGATGTATTAAGCTTCCAACAATAAGAGAAACTCAGAGTCACTTTTTCCTTTACCCTCATTTCTCTGTTCCTCCCCTTTCTCTTACAACTTGTGCAAAATTAATGAGTCGAGGTATATTCATTCGATTCTACTACGGATGAAGAAATCATTTCAGGGTGGGGAAATGAAGAGAAGAAAACCTTTACCTCAAATAAATGTGATAGATCCTAACCATCTTCCCCATTTATGCACAGGAAGGAAAAATGAAGCAAATTAGCTGTAAGAGTGCTGGCTACCAGGGCTCTTCTGTGAGTAAAGTCTACACAGCGTTTCACTAAATAACATAATGATTACCTTAAGATATCAAAATGCAATTATGGGCCGACCTTTATTACATAACTCATCCTTTTGTTGGATTCAGTAGCCCTAACCCCCATTTATATATCAGAAGTAATATTTCAGTCATTTGCATTTGACATCATATATTTGAAAGAATTTATATGAGTTCTTCTCGCCAATTGGGATCCTGCTAATTAAAGTGCTTTTTAAAAAGTCTAATGTATCCTAGAATATGGAACCTTAATTACTTCATCTGCAGTTACTATGATGCTTAAGTAAAAAAAAGTTAAGATGAGATTTGGTCTCATTCTAAAATGTCCAGTGACTGTGATAAGTATTAGCTCACTGGTTAATATTTTCTGTATTAATTTTCAGTTTCATTTATCAGAATAAGCATTTTTTAAAAGCCACTCTGAGTGAAAATCCTCCACATAGTCATGCAAAGACTATATATTAACAATGGCAGATTTTCTTTCCTCCCATATAAGATATGTCGAAAAATGATTCTTATCCGTATCTGTCAACTTAGGGCCCTACTGATCAATTTTATTACAGTTGTGAAGATTGTATTAAGTATAATTATATTAAAAATTTATTTTTTAAATATTTTTAACTTTGTTATCTATCTAAAAATATATAGAAAAAATATATATTTTTTCTTTAAAATCCCTAACAATGCTCTTATGTGCAGAAAGTTATTTACAACATCTGATATAGCTACCGAAACATTAACTTATTTAAAAAAATGCATCAAAAAGTAGAACTTCAATGGACAGAACCTCATTGCTTTAAGAAAACTCTTTTTCCCTCCTTTCAAAACCCTTTTATTTTCCCTACAAAGCAAAATTCTGTTCCCTAGTGCCAGAATTACACAAATACTTCATAGGGATCAAATTAATTTTTGCTTCACATTTCCCTGCAGCACTGGAACCAGACAAGCACAATTTTATACATCACTGCCTCCTTAGACTGGCATTTTAAAATGTTAGCACTATTATGATTAGATGTGGAGATGTGGACTAAGGGCATGGTCTCCTCGGAATGCCCCCAGGACTCACATTAAACTTTAAGCCATAACAGGAAGTTGGGCAAATATTCTCATACTTGGGACTTAATAATACTTAATACCCACTTATAAGGGGATGAGTCTCTCATGTGATGTACTTTGTCTCTAAACTGCCATTAAGCCTCACAATTGCTAGTCATCTAGTTACCTCTGCTCTAACTATTCACCATCGCCCTTCTGGCACCTTTGGAAAGTATAATCCCAAGTTACTCTTTGTAGAAACTTCTCCAAAGCCACTACCTGTCTAGTCTCCAGAGCCTAATTTGCTAATATTAAGACACCCTAATGAGACAGCATCTATAATAATCACCCACTGGCTTGAAGATACCTGGTACTGTTCTAATTACATTTTTATTGATTTTTATGTAACCATGCAGGGTTTGAGCTTATTAAATGCACAGCAGGGGTGTTATATAAAACCATTCATTGTTTTTATGGAACCCAAGAATTCCTAATCTCAGATAAAAAGGAATGACCAGTTGGAAAACAGCGAGTATTTTTTCAAGAAATTTACAAATAGAATGGGTTGTACACTCTTGCAACAATCATTCCAAACAGTAATAGAAGTCTCCAGCCTATCATTTTGCCCTAAGATTTATATTTAACTTGCAATAACACACCAATAATACCTTTTTCATTGTATAAAGATACTCATTTATAACTGTCTTACACTACCACGTCCTGGAAGGTTTACCAAACAATACTATTTTGATAACTCCCACAGTATACCATGGGATAAGCTGACTTTTTTAGACCTATTGAGTCATGACCCTTCAAAAACTTCCAACCTAGAGTGGAGCTGTGGAAACTTCTCAAATAATGATCATGCCTCCTCCAACTTTGAATCTTGGCATTTAGTGGAGATTGAAATGTGAAGGACTGAATGAATGAAAGGAAAGTAGGAATGTCGGTCAGGAGAGAACAGATCTGACTTGAGCTTGAGAAATGTCGAACTTGAGACATCCAGATAGAGGTATCCAGCATATTTTTGGAAATATGAGATGGTTGCAGATAAAGATTTAAAGATGGTAGTTATAGATAGGAGAATAGATACTGTAAATATGGGTGATTTTGCCAAAAAGAAATTCGAGAGATAGAGCCAAAAAGAGAAAGTAAAACCCAACCTTACTGAAAACCTTATATTCCAGGGCTAAGGAAAAAGAGCTGTGGGAAGAGACATAACCAAAGAATAGAAGAGATCGCCTTTTTCAGGCACCTGGAATCCCATTTAGGAAAAATGCCCATTCACCAGACACTTTATGTTTCTGTCTCTCTCTTATTTTATTCTATTTTTGCATTGGTTGCTGTTCCCACAAAAATCCAGGAACAAATAGGGAACAAATGTCCAGGCTTTCTACAAACTGCAATAAAGCAGAACATAAAACAAATCTCCCCTCTTCAATATAACAGTTAATGTCCCTGCCACACTCACCACTCACTGTATATGACTACGGCATGCACACAGCCACATACCACCTACCTGAATTCCAATCAGGATGCCTTTCTGGGGTATCTTAAATCCTGTGGAAAGCATTGCCTTCAGGAAGGCTGTATGAATACCTTCTCCAAAGCAAGCCACCTGTTTAAGAATAAAAACAAAAATAAAATACAGAAGTCAAATAATAGTCGATCATCCTTACCAATACGTACACATAGACACACATACAAGCACAAAAACACAAATGGAAAGCCCTTCACTCATGGACTCCTTCTGTAGATTTTATTAATGTTAACCAAAGACCATGCAATCTGAATCCAGGGATTGAAAGACTGGCTGAGGCAGATGTATCTTATGTTTTTAATTAAACATAATGAATGAATAAGCAATTCTTTCTCTATTCAACAACACTCAATGGAGTAACATAACCGGCTTCTACTGAGAGTTATATGGAAACAAATCACAGCTTCTGGTCCATAACATGGTGAGTTTCCAAATGTTAATATGACTTACTGTTTAAATAACAGTTTATATCGTACATACTATGCAGTAACGTAGGCAGCAGAGCCTGAATGCATGGGTCAGTAGCAGAAATGCATAACTATAGATCATTGGTTTGGAGTCATTTCATACAGCTCCAGAGAAAGCCTTCTCAGAAATTCTATAATTCCATGAAAATCTCAAAGGAACTTGTTCTTTCTAAAAGTCATTTTCATAAAATGAACCAAATACTCTACGACTAGTCCTGAAATCCACAGCTATATGTTAAAAATAAATGCTTTCAGTCTACCATATACAGGAATGTTAAAGAGGATGCAGAAGCTTTACCTAGGGAAATTATGCTACCGATATAACTACAAGTCAAATAGCCCCATAACTGCAGAACAAGGAGTGTATTTGAACATGGTAAGTAAGAGTCAACTGCACCGTGCACATCATTATTTGGCACCAGTACAGAATCACCATTAGAGTAAATAACACTGATGCCTAAATTTATTCTTCTAGCAAATGACTCCCTTTCTATGCAAGGAAAGTTCTCATGACTATAACCTTCAGCCGACCACCAACACATGCTACTTTTCACTCCAGTAAATATTTTACTCAGTCAAGTACCGGTCAGCTAACTCAAGGTTAAGTTATGTGAAGAGTTTTGAATTCTACTGAAAGGAATTGGGCTACCCCATCACAAGTGCAGATACAGTAACACACAAGAAATTTCAGCAATATCCAACGGAACCAGAGAAAGTAGGCTGATATTCCAGCAAACCAGTGGACATTAGGACTGACATGCCCACTTTGCCACTAGGAAAATAAAATCCCCCTTACTTACATCAAGACCCAGAGGTTTACTTAATCCCCAAACAACACATTTTGACACTGAAAATGTCTCTTTGAAGCATAATTGAGATTTTCCTCAGCCAAAGTGATTATTCTGAGGTCAGAATAACAGACCCCCTAACTTTACATTCATGACATTGGGAAATATGAGCCTTTTTAATAATGAAAGAGGAATCTCTCTCCTCATACTTTATAAACAGATACAACAAATATGGAGCTAAATTTCTAATTCTTTCACATTTTTATATTTCAACAACCCTAACAATGTGTTTAATGAGGCACAATGAATATAAACACGGGAAACAAATTTGCCACACTAGAGAAAAAAAACATGGGGGAAACAGATCACTTTCTCATCTGAAGCCTGGGGCAGCTGAAACCAGCACCACTACAGTGACCGTGGGGTCTCGATGAACCTGCTGAGAGGAGGCTGAGAGTCCCCATTCAAAGGTCCAAATATAAACATATAGCATTTATTCTCTACTGTCTGCCTTCCTGTTTCACTTGGCTTCTCGTCACACAGATCTTTCTTGTAACCAAGCAACCATATAAAACATCACATATTTGTTGCAATTAAATATTTTCCCCTTTCAAAAGCATATTCCTCACTATCAAGAGGAAACAATGATGCCTCATGGTCTGATGTTGCCACTGCGATGTGCACTGATGAGAATCTGAAGGTTGTATCTAGTAAGCCTGTCAAGGGCCAGGTGATTCATAAAATGTCCTGACACTGACATGTAGAGAACTTTCTAGAATCTGACAGCTCTCTACAAGAAACACATTTCATATTCTTAAAGAAACCTCCTGCTGACACAATCCCAGCACAAGGGAAGAGGGACATCCAGTGGCCAGTCCCATTATAGCTTTCAGATAATCCCCAAGAGGTAACAGTTGCTTTAAAAATGGTCCTGGGATTTTCCTTGAATCCACAGATCCCACAGTATTTAGGTACATGAGTTTTTCTGGGGCTGTTATTCTCAATGATCTAATATCATGGTAGTAAGGTGGTAACGAAGTGCTATTAGAGAAAGATCCGAGAACCTTAAAATAAAAAGAAATACACAAAAGATATCACTTTGATGTCTAAAGAAGTATAAGAAAGATGCTCTCACGAGCAAATGAATTAGGAACACGAGTATTATATTCCCACATTCAAACAGAAGTGAGGATTTAGACTCACCAACAGTAAAAGATATTTTTTATTCAAACTGCTTAAGCCTTTTGAGACTTATTCTGAAAGCAGAAATTTGTGCTCTCCTTGCTTATTTTACTATATTCAGGTCATAAAACCACAGATTTCAAAGTATACTTAATGAAAACATTCATGGATCATTAAAGAGTTACCTCTCCAGTGGAAGCCATCTCACACCTCAGAATAGGGTCAGCGTCCCTCAGCCGGGGCCAGGAAAACATGGGAGCCTGTCACAAAAAGCAGGGAGGAAAAAATGCGTGAGGCAAATGTATAAATGAATAAGAGAGAATAAGTATATTTAGCAAATCATCTCTCCAGGGATCCATTCAGGCTATGACAGACATGTAAAAAAATCTCTTTGGTCCAAGCGCATGACTTGAAAAACAGCTTTAAAATTCTGTTCCAAAAATTTCTTGAGCTCTTGGCCAAAACCTTAGGTTAAATAATCACAAATTATTTCTGTAAATGGGGCCCCTATGACCAGTCTAGACCAGTGCTTCTAATCTAGATTATGCACAGTCTTGCTGGAGAGATTTCAAACGCATTCTACTGGGCATTGGTCTACCCAGACACAGAGTTCAAACACATTTCTCCCCCCCTCGGTAGGCTCTGGAAGCATTTCTCTTCTTGTTCTGATCATTTGGACTTGCAACAAGCCAGCTTGCCAGAAATGGCTGCCTGCAAGCTGTCTTCTGAGACATGAAACTGTGGTCGACACCTCTTAAAAGCTTTGAAAAACATTCTACTTGGAAACACTTTCGTCCAGAACTTTTGTATAAACTGGAACATATGAGTGCTTCCTTTTCATTTATTTTATTGGTACAATTCACTAACAACCAAATTCTTGTTTCAAATGCTCATTTATCTTGTCTAGACTATTCCTTTATTGATGCTGGCACCTAAGTTATGATGCGAATTCTACCTTGGGGCCATTTCATTGGGTCATCTTACCCAAGTTACTACATATTCTTGTGCATCAGCTTCCCTATTTCCCCCATCTATTGATAGTCACTGACTTTGCTAGGACTATTACAATTGCCAATGAATAAACCCATTTGAAAAAAAAATTGAATTCATGTACAATGATAAGTAGAAAAGAAGTAAGCTGGAAGATACAGTGCATTAAAAATGCATATCTATCGATATTACTTCAGTTGGAAATTATGTTTGTATGTTCACATATCAATGTATAAGAAGAAATAAAGGCATGTATTCTTATAACTAAGAATAAACATGAATTTAAAATTCATATATAGAATCTCCAGTTTAAAAAAAAAAAATGTTTTTCAGTGCTGATTACTTGTGCATCTCAAAAAGCTTCCTCTTTCTCTCTCTCCCTCTCTCCCTCTTGCTCTCACATGGCTTCTTGCTCTCTTTCTCTCCTATAAAGCTTCTACAATGTTTTTGTTAGAGTCTCTCAGAAGAAAATGCTACCCCACCCAACATGAAAAGTGACATTCCATCTCAATGCACTATAAAATTCAAGACATCCTAAATTATTAACTTAAACAAGACTAATAAATATTTTTTGATTCACAGCTTCAACTTAAAGTTTCCACTGTAAAGTCAGAACTCAGAATCACATCTGAGACACAATTACGGTTGAGGGTACTAGCACATATAGGAACAGGACCTTTTGCAGGCCTCAAAAATATTTCAGTTTTGCATAAATATGTCACATAATACAAATTGATTTCATTGTGCATTTCATCTAAGGAATTCAAATATGTTTATATAATATCTCCCAAATCCTCACACCTCTCCAGCAAAGTAGTAATTAGTAGTAAAGGATGTCATTATAAATATTGTGTGTGTGATCATACTGAGGTATCTAGTGGAGCAAGGTGGCTTTATTATTAAGGTATTATCAAAAATATATGTATATATTGGAAACTGATGAGTAACCTCAAATTTTTCCGCTTATCTTTTTATAAGGTGTCATTGATTTCATCATTCTCAAAGCACCGTTATCAATAGCAATTGCTATTTCAATTTTACAAATGGAAAAAAATGTGCCACTGGAGAAAATAAAGACTAAGCAAAGATGGTCAACATGTTAAGAATTTAAGTCACCCCACAGGATAACCACTTTTATAAGAGTCAGGCCTTCCTGAAGGCTTAGCACAATTCAAGTCTGTTCCTCACAAATTACACCCAGGATTTTTGCTTAAGCATCTAAACTGGCACCTTTGTATGTCGATTACATTACATATAACTTATAAAATTCACTAGGCTACTTGGTTTTGAAGTTATGTAGTTCTAGATGATTTCTTAAAAGTTTGAAAAGCACAACAGTTCCCACAAAGTGGCCCGTCGGGCAACTATGTTGCCTTATTGAAAAGAAACATAAAGCCTGAGTCCAGAACTTTAGTTAGAAAGTTTTTAAAAGTAACAAGATTTTTGATGTCAAAGTATTCCTTTCACTTCATTGCATTTCATAGAACGACTGATAGATTTTTTTAAAAATATTACCTTAATTGCAACATATTCAGCAGGAATTATGGGGTGCTCCAGAGTTGGAAGAGGTTTCTCGTCAATGTTCTCTCCAATCATCACCTTGGTGGCCACATCAATGAAGTCTACCCCGAGAGTCTTGGAGACGAACGGGAAGGATCGAGAAGCTCTCAGGTTACATTCAATCACCTAAAGAGATAAATTCAAAAGCAGAAAGAGGGTGGTGAGGGTCAACACCAGCAATGTTAATATTCTGTCTGCCACTTGATTTCCAGTTGTCATCAAGTGGAGACCAGATTTTGTTTTGCTAATCTCGTCTCTTTTCAAACCCACTGCTTAGACTTTTTCTAACTGGTTTCCTTTAGGTCAATATCTGACTTTTTTTCACCCTCTCCCCCAACTGTATCCTCACACACTGCTGACAGATTTAGACTAAGGCAGAGCTCAAACAATGCCATGCCCCTCGTGAAATCTTCACTGGCTCTCCGCTGGCTGCAGAGGAACGCCTTCCATCTTCTTGCTTCATAAGCCTCTCTGTTTTATCTTAGGCCTTCTTCCTGGCCCCAGTCTTACCTTCTGAGTTCACCTTCCACCATTTACCTAGAAAAATGATCTCATTCAACTGAACTATTTGTTGTCTCCAAAAATAGATGTTCTATCCTCGTGTAGTAGCCCCTCTACTGTTCTTGTCAAAATCTCAGCCATTCCTTAAGGTCCAGTCCACAAGACAAAATCTCCCTCGAAGTCTTTTATGATCCACCCCAATGAGGCGCGTGATGAGGCGTACTTGTTCAAGTGCACGCACACTAGCAAATGTGCTATCTCCTTACTTGTACATCACATCTAACAGCTGTTACACTCTGTATTATGGCTATCTACAAATTGTACTAATTTATCTTCTTCCCAGTCCCACTAAATCTTAAGATCACTGAGAGCTGAGATCAGGCCTTACACATCTTTGTAGATCACTGCGTAACAGTGGTGGATCCATGTTGGTTACTACTATGATTTGGATCAGTTTTTCCCCACAAACACTCATGTTGAAATTTGACCCCCATTTGGCAGTATTGGGAGCTGGGGCCTAATGGGATGTGTTTGGGTCATGAAGGTGGATTCCTCATGAGTAGATTAATGCCCTAGAGTGAGTTCTCATTGTCACAGGGATGAATAAATTCTCACAGCAGTGGGCTGTTAAAGGATGCGGCTTCCTCCGCTTCCCTCTCTCCTTCCTCTCTTGCCCATGACGTCTCTGCACACGCATTCCCCTTCTGCTCTCTGCCATGCACAGAACCAGCCTGAGACCCTCGCCACACGCAGTTTCCCAGTCTTGGCCTTTCGAGCCACCTCAATAGGGAGCCAAATAAACTTTTTTCTTTACAAATGGTTCAGCATCAAGTATTCTGTTATAGCAACACAGAATAGTTAAAAACAGCTACAGATTAGTTAAATGATGTAGACTAAATTAATTAGGACTAACCCGGTTGACGGAACATTTTTGTTTTTGCAAACGATACCTTCTCTGAGTAAGGAGTGAAGCCGATCGTCAGTGCACGGAATGTAAGACTACACTGCACATTAGGTTTACTTCACGATCTTCCCTCTCTCTATGCACATTGTACTGCGGACGGCATGCAGTCATCTTCTTTCCAGTGGGACCAAGTGCTTTACAAAGCTGTAACTAATATGTCAGTGCCACCCACCAAGAGCCTATGCTTTCAATCAAGGCAGACATTGTATCCTCTGAAACCTCCCACACTAACAGCTGCAAGGGTCTCAGTGCTCTGTGGCTGGTATTCACGGAAGAGATTACCAGAAGGTCACAAACCCACATGACCTAACCCAGCAATGGTGATCTCTCAGGCACTTCTGCCTCTCTTACCAAGACATCGTTTCCTTTGACAAGAAACTGGACGTTGAATGGGCCCGAGATGGCAAAAGCCTTTGCAATCTTTCTGGTAGCGTCCTTCACCTAGATCAAAAGAACAGTGACACAGTGCTAAAGAACATACCTTCATTAAAAAAGAAAAACAGAAAAAAAGGCACAGAACCTTAGATTTAGATTTAATTTCTCCTCACGGAAAGCTGTACCTACATTTATAATGGTAATAATAGGATGCACTATTAGGCTTCTATTAACAAAATAATAATGGGTACTAAATAGAAGCATAGGGAAAAGAGTGAATCATTTTCAAGTCATTATCTCTCTGAAAAATGTCCTTATCTACCTATAGTTGTGTACTCTGGCTTTACTTTGAGGTTTAAATGGAATTCTCTCAGTCTGCTGGCTTTCGCACCAGAAACTGCAGTCCAAACTCTATATCAATCTAATGACCTACCTGCTGAGAGGTGCGGGCCCTGAAATTACATGGTACTGGAAAGAGACCACAGAGATTTCTTTTATGTTGCTTTTCTGTTGCCCTGGACTCTACAAGGGTGGATATTATGTTTGGAAGAAGATGGTGTTTCCCTGCAGGGAGACACTGCATGTCACGTATAGAAATCCCTGTATCCAACCAGGGCCGTAAAGTTCCTATGCCAAGAAGGGTCACTGATTACAACAAGCAAGTTCACTTCACTCATTACATGCACAAGAGTGTTTCCACAACTTCCTTGGGTATAAAACAAAGTGGAGTCCATGGCACATTGAGCTCTGAGAGAGTTAAAAAAATATGAGTTCTGGAGATCATTTATCCTGACATGAGAAACTAAAGTACATTTGAAATTTGGGGACTTTTTTCTGTTAGGCTGCTTTTATTACCAAGCATCCCACTACCTCCACTTTCCAGAACAAAGTTAAGACCTTCAGGATCCAATGTATGACCAGACAGACAGGCCTGCGTGGATTCTGATGGAAAATTCACAGGAAAAGCTCACTAAGAAAGCCAGGCCTGCCCTAACATACCTGAAGACTAACAGGACCTTTTCTAGATTATTTAAGATGACTGGCTCTGAGTATATACCTAGCAAAGCACATTAAGTATTGAAGCAGAATCATCACTCTTGTGAAGTTCTTTAAAGACATAGCTGTCAAAAAGGGGTCAAAAGAGACATATTAGAAAGAGAAGTGAAGGTAAGAGGGTTTGCAGGTGGGTGAGGGGGGAAGGTTCCAGAAGGTTCCCAGTGACTGCCGCACGCCTCCTGCACCTCTCCTGAGAAGCATGGTTTTATATGCTGCTCCCCTGCAAATGGCTCTCAAGCATTAGAAACCCCTGCAGCAGCAAGTCTCTATGTCCTTCCCAGAGCACCAACAACAGCACCCTCTTAGGAGGTGTTAAAAAGGCAAATTCTGGAGCCACAGATTTTCTGAACCATAAAATCAGGAACTTGGGGTGGAACCCAGGATCCTGTAGTTTAACAAATTCTGCAGGTGAATTCGATGGATGGTAAAGTTTGAGAACCACCGCACTGGCCCACAACCCAATGGCCCCTAAAGGGCAGTGAGGGAAATCATTGTCTTTAAAGTA